CCATGTGTCTGTTCAACTGAACAGACAAATCTGGATTTAGGTATACCACATTTAAATTAATTTTAAAAATTCATTTTTGGTTGGTTCTCTTGCCATTATACTAAAAATTTGGGGCAATTGCGAATGGATTTGTATACATTTTAATGCCTTAAGCATTCATGCCAGGTGACTGATGGAACCTCTAGTCCTGTCCTATCCAAAAATATTAAAAGCTCTACAAAAGAAGGCTTAAGCAGAACCTATTTAGTACAATGAAGCTTCTGTGTCAAACCACCCCAAAGCCATACATGTTTTATAACATTTTGGCAAGCTTATGAACAAATGAAACAGAACCTTTTGTGTGCACGTTAAATACTTGAACCGTGTTACTGTTACACTTAATAAAATGTGACCAAACGGACATGGCTATGGTGTAGGCATAATAGGGTAGAACTGAGGAAACTTGAAAGAAACTGGAAGAAAGGAAGAAGAATCTTGTTCAGATGGCATCTTGCTCCTGCAAGAGAGGATAAATAAGCACAAATCATTCAGATAACTGTTGGAGTGTTTTGGACAGAACATTCTTAAGATAAGGCACTAACTTCTGTTCAAACTTGTTACACCCTATAATTTGCTGTTCTATCTCACAATACGTAAATCTGTTACTGAGGACTGGTATAACAGCTGTTTCGGCCCAGAATGCTACTATATTTGTAATAATGATGCTAAATGTTGATTAGTTGTAACACCTAGCCACGAGGTCTCTTACACACACACACACACACACACACACACACACACGATTACAGCTTCCTCCCTATTCTTTAAACTTCAGAGCTGAAATAGTTTTGTCTTTGCACAGAGTCTGTATATAGCTGACTGTAAAGAAATGGCACAATCTGATTCATCAGCAAAAGTGGCAATTACTAAACATTAGAAAAATACTAAAAGGTGAGTTTAGAGGAATATATGAGTAAATCAAAGCTAACCTTGTAGTTGTGAACTGAAAGGTGAAATTACAAGAAACCGCAATAAAGGCTTAAGTAAGAATCGTGGTATTCCATATTACAAACCAATATATTGGTATTGCTTGCATAGCATGATAGGCCAAGCTATGGCTCATCAGTTAAATTTGGCTTAACATGTTGTCTAAAATCACACTTGCAATTAAGGTCTCTTTTCACTAACCACATTTGGATGCCAAGGCTTGTTTTTTGCTACAGCTTGTGGTTAGTGAGGCGATACCTTAATCATCAGCCTGAGTTGGAATGATACGCTAAGTCAAGCGTTGGCTTAGCTCAGCTTGCTGCCAGAGCAAAAAGGATGAGTAAGGATCAAAGTGCTCTTAAGAAGAAGAGTTTGGATTTGATATCCCGCCTTTCACTCCCCTTAAGGAGTCTCAAAGCGGCTAACAATCTCCTTTCCCTTCCTCCCCCACAACAAACACTATGTGAGGTGAGGTGAGTGAGGCTGAGAGACTTCAGAGAAGTGTGACTGGCCCAAGGTCACCCAGCAGCTGCATGTGGAGGAGCGGGGAAGCGAACCTGGTTCACCAGATTACAAGTCCACCACTCTTAACCACTACACCATGCTGGCTTAAGCCTTTTTCTGAGAGCCCACACATTTGCATGTTCCCAGTAAGCCATAGTTCACCTTACTGTGTCGTGCGTGAAAGTTTGTGCTTTTATAAGTACAAATATTTTTGAAATCAGTAAATAAAGCATGGTTTTATATAAAACTAAGCATAAGCCCATGCACTACCATAAAATGTGTACTGGAATAAGGAAGACCTTGTCATGCACCTGTTCAGCAAGGATTTTTCCTGTAATCTCAGTTGGGAGTGAATTCACAGACTTGGGCTTGCAACACTGAATTGATAATTTTGTCTTTTCTCCCAGAACTTTTGGCAATACAGTACCTTGTCTTTCAAAAACCACTTCACATTTAACACTCACCCCTCATTAGCAACTGAAACAAAGCCTGTATATGTAGAATAGCATTTGCACCCATTCATTTGCCCTCCTGTACTATTGAAACGATGCTGGCAGGATCCTCTGCTCTGTCTCTGTGCTTCTGTGTTTATTGTAAAGCACTGTGATCTTGTACTTCAGGGGTGGGAAATCTGTGGCCCTCCAAATGTTGTTGGATTACAAAAAAGGCCATTCCTGGCAATTGGCCATGTCAGTTGGGGCTGATGGAAGGTATATTCTCAACAAGATTGCTTACCTGGAAGTGATTTCCATTTAATTCAGTTGGGGCTACTTCTGAGTGTGTAAATGACTGCAGCATAAGCAAAGGGTATTTTCCTACCTGTTTTCTAGATAATTGTTTCCATGCTAAGTCTAAAGAACGGGTGGAGGGCGAAATACTGCGAATGGCTTAAGTAAAAAATGTCATGGTCAACACACTTCTGGGACTAGCCGCTGCACTTGGAAATGGTGCAAATGTTAGATTTTTATCACCAAGGACATTGGCATCGCAGTGTAGAGCTTTACTTCTGAGGTCATTAGCAAAGTAATATGTTTTCAAGCCTCACAGCCATCGTATGCATTTTTGCTCTTCATAAACCCTTAAAATGCAGTGCCACAATGTAGTTGCTGTAACATTCCCAAAGTCATTATTTATCTTTAATAAACATTGGACAATTTTAAATGCTATTTATTGACAGTGTATGCTGAAATCATGCCTTTGGTAAGGTCTTCCTTCCTTGCAGATTAGCCATCTTTGAGCTTCTCCCTGGCATATTCATCTATGGCCTTTTAAACTCGGGGGGGCGGGGGGCGGCGGCTAGTCATATTGTTTTTGTTTGCTTCTATGTTATGTATTTCTCAATTTTTTATAATGTAAACTGCCCTGTGATTTTGGGATGAAGGTGGTATAGAAATTTAATAAACCAATAAACTAGTATTACAGTCTGAGCAATCTGTGCTCGTTTAGACAAACATTTGTTGAGGAATCTTGTTGAAGGGACTGTAAGTTGATGTTTGTGCATTGGAGAGCAGCACATGTAAGAACTAATATATGTGATGCTCTCACAGTTCTCCCATTCCCTTAACTATGAGGGATTACTCAACAACTCTCATTTTTCTGCATGAATTACCGTATTTTTCGCTCGATAACACGCACCTGACCATAACACGCACATAGTTTTTAGAAGAGGAAAACAAAAAAAAAAATTCTGAATGAAACAGTGGATGTATCATTTTTGTGCTTCATGCTGTGGCCACAGACATGTGATTTGACGGTGAGTTTGGGGTAGCCCAATGCAAAAATCCTGAGAATCCATGTGGATCTGTGCTTTGTAACCACATTTTTGCACCATTGTGGCCCCAGGCAACAGTGGGTGCATGATTTTTTGGTGCAGGCTGTAGCCATGGACATGCTATGTGATCTGATGGTGAATTTGGGGTGACCCAATGCAAAGATCCTGAGGATCCATGTGGATCCATGCTTTGTAACCACGTTTTTGCACCATTGCAGCCCCAGGCAACAGTGGGTGCGTGATTTTTTTGGTGCAGGCTGTAGCCATGGACATGTAATGTGATCTGATGGTGAATTTGGGGTGACCCAATGCAAAGATCCTGAGGATCCATGTGGATCCTTGCTTTGTAACCACGTTTTAAGTGGGGAGGGAAGGAAAAACACAGAAGGGACAAGGAGCACGAGAGGGGTGTGCGGAGAAGCAGCTGGCTAAGAATGCAGGAGAGGGGTTTAACGGGAGGGAGAAAAGGAAGGCAAAAGTTTTCCCCCACCCACCCAAGCCAGCCCTCTCTCTCTCTCTCTCTCCCACCTGCATTTTCCGGCTGCCTGCGATGCTGGACGCAGCAGCAGCAGTGGAGCACGGAGAGGAGGAGGTGGTGGCTGTCGGCTGCACTCCTAGCCGACGGAACCTGAGCCGGGTGGGCTGGAGCCTGCGCGCAGTGTGACTAGGAAGGAATTAGAAGGAAGGACGCGATCCTTTCCTTTCCCCTCTGCTTGCCAAGAGGGCAGGGGATTTCCCTGCTCTTTGTTGCGTTTGAGCAAACACAGCAACCAAAAACAGTGGGCGGTAAGACCCTGAGGCAGAATGCAGGAAAGCCGCAACCCTCCTCTCTTTAGCCTTCCCTCCTCCGCGATCTGATTTTTGCCCCTGTACTCGGGCCAGTCGGCTCCAGGGACAATACATTCGCTCAATAACACGCACAGACATTTCCCCTTACTTTTTAGGAGAAAAAATGTGAGTGTTATAGAGAGAAAAATATGGTAATCAGCCTATTACTGATTAAGGCTTATATTGGAACCATCTTTAACTATTCTTGGCACTAACTAGGGTTTTAGCCAGGATTTGACGCTAGTTCCAACTGTCTAGTAATGACTCTGTTGTTGTTTAGTCGTTTAGTCGTGTCCGACTCTTCGTGACCCCGTGGACCAGAGCACGCCAGGCACTCCTGTCTTCCACTGCCTCCCACTGTTTGGTCAGACTCATGTTTGTAGCTTCGAGAACACTGTCCAACCATCTCGTCCTCTGTCGTCCCCTTCTCCTTGTGCCCTCCATCTTTCCCAACATCAGGGTCTTTTCCAGGGAGTCTTCTCTTCTCATGAGGTGGCCAAAGTATTGGAGCCTCAGCTTCACAATCTGTCCTTCCAGTGAGCACTCAGGGCTGATGACTCTAGTTGGCATCAATGGTGGTTGAAGTTGGGTGTTTTTTTTCCTGAGAAAGTGATTACTATGCTTCTACAACCTAGTGATGGCCAAGGGGATATTGTGTACATAAGCCCTTTCTGATTTGGTTAAAATATGTTGATTTATTTTTTTTAAATCACTGAATGTGTTCTCTTTCTCTTTCTATCTGCTAATGTATCCTAGCAAGCAATGCTTTAGAAACTTTAATAAGTGATATTTGGTCATTGTTTGAAATGTTCATTGGTATATAATTCTGTTTTCTCTAAAATATTGTGAGGATTAATTAACCTTTATCATAAGATGTAAACATTGCAACAGAGGCCAGATATTCTCATTGGGGCTCTTTTTTGTCTTTCAGTGAATGGTAGTGTCTAGAAAGGGTATGTCCCTTCAGGAGAGAGGTGCCAATGTCCAACCGGCCTAGTAACAGTCCAGGGGGCTCACTGCGACGTTCACAAAGGAACACTGTCGGGGCCCAACCACAAGACGACGCAGTAGGAGGAAGGTATGACTCGTTATCTACAAACTTCTGATCATCAGAGGATGATTAACACTTGAGGGGGGATAACCCAATAAATCTTTTTCTTTATTTATGCCAGATAACTATACTTCCCTTGCATTTATTAGTATCTCTTAAATGTCTCCTTTTGGCCTTAACAGCTAGAATTGTGAATATAAACATAAAATGCACAACCTTCTTCTAAGCATTGAACTAGAATGCCTAGTTCACAGGGCTTAAGCAGATTTGGGTTTAAAGTATTGTTCTATGGACTGAAGCTCACATGCAATCTTTTGGTTCAGGTTTTTAGTACAGATTTCTTTGGAAAAGAGACTAAAATGGCCTGTTGTACATTTGGCTTTATCTTGCAGCAAGAATGTAAAAAGAATTTTACATCTGAGTGTTGATTTATGCACCAGCCTCTCAGCATGGCGTTACCTTGACACAACAGACATAACATATGCACATAGTTATTTGGTGTTGGCATCCATCTGTCTTCAAGGACAATGGAGTGCGCCTCCAGGGGTAAAGTCAAACCACTGCATTAGCAGCACTGTAGTGACCTCTCCTTTCCTTCTATGTGTATAGGAGCAGGACTTTGGAAGTTTTAATTTCAGTTTAAGCTGGTCATGGCTTCCTCTCATGTCTGAAACTAGGAGTCATGGTTGGACAATAAATATGCCCAGCCTCAAAACAAGCCGATTTCAGACCATAGGTTCTGAAGTTGATGGTTTTTTAAACTACGTAAATTGGAGTCCTTAATGTCTCGAAAGACCAAATCCCCCTCCACTGCCCAGTAACATCATTAAGATAAACAAATGGAACCTGGTTAGACTTCCATGGCCTAATCATGTGCTTGCAGTAGTTGGCTTTCTCAATGGTAGCACTGGTTTTATGGAATGTACTTCCAACCAAGATACTCGGGGCAGGGGCATCTATATTAGTTTTTCACTGCCTTTTGAAGCACTTATTTACACAAATATCTTGACCTGGATATTTATCTTTTAATAGTTTGTTTAACTGGTTTTTGATGCTTTGTAAACCATTTAGAAACATATTTTGACATTCAGGGATGCATAATAAATTTTAAATAAATTACTCTAAATCCAGAGATACAGCAGCATCTTTTTAATAATTACTGTATGCCCTGTATTCTCCACACAAAAGTTGGTGAATCTGACTTGACAGGATGTGGTATGACTGACTAGATTTATGTTTAAACAGATGCAGCTTAATTTTCAGATATTTAATTCAAATGCTATTAACTTTAGAAATATTGAGTAACTGAACTCTCAAGTGGCCATGATATATCAAGCAATTGGTCTGCATAATTAAGAAGGAGATGGACTCTGGTGGCTGATCATATTACTTAACCGTGCCTGGGCACATCTCCCTCAGCATTACGTCAGTAGTGCATGTGGCAGCTTGTGCTTCACCTTCTCTTCACTTATTTCTAATTTCTGTATTACACAGGGACAGTGATTCTTCTCTCCCCCCCCCATTTCAAAGGGTAATGGTAAACTGTTGCCAACCACTAGCATTTCTTTATTCACAGGAAATTAAATATACATTAAAACATCAGTCATTAAAAAACCTCTCTAAACAGGGCTGCCTTCCGATGTCTTATAAACGTTAGTTAGTTGTTTATTCCATTGACATCTGATTTATTTTGGTAAACAAAAATGCTAAATGTATATTTGGTGAATAATTGCTCAAGTTACAAATAATTTTATGGAGCTGCAGGATTTATTAACTACAGAATCATTGTGCAGATGTTTACCATTTGTGTAGAGGGAAGGTGAGAAGTTTGGAGCATTTCTTAGTTGCCCGTATGCATATTGTTAGTAAGAGGAAATGCAAATGAATATAGGAAACTACAAACTTCCAAATAGGTTCATGATTCCAAATCTCTGCTTAATGTCAATGATTGAAAGACTGAAAAGGCCAGGAAATATCAAAGAATACTAATTTGAGATATAATTTCATTCGAGAGAGTTGATGTCTTGATACACCTAACTTTTCTCCCTAGAACATCTTTGCATAGGCTTAGTAGAAAACTATACTGCAAATATACTCCATGTATACATTTGTGTTTGTATGCCAGTTTTCCTGATAGCTTTCTGTTCTTAATTATTTGCTGGCAGGTCACATTTAGGGCAGGCAAAACATAAGGCACATAGCCCTTCTGAAAGTAGAAAATCAGTATCAAAGGCACCCAAAGTGCAGTCCAATACTACTTCTGAACAGTCCAAGGGACAAGTTTCTAAAAGGTAACTTTTATTTTTCTGAATTTACAAATATAACTTCAGCAGTATATATTGTAATCTTCATTGTCGTATCTGTTGTAAGCAATAACAATTTTATTTATGGATGCTATATAGTTATATGTGCTATGTAAAGAAGTGCTTCCTTTTGTCTACCCTGAACCACCACCACTTCATTTGATGACCCCAGTTTCTGTTATATCTGTTATTTCTTGAACTGCAGCCTGGAAACTTTCCCCAGCTATACTGCATTTTTGAATATCCATTACCTTTTTGGTGAAAATTCTGAAATGGAAAAAGAAAAAATATTGCAATACTGAAGTGGTCGCTTTTCATTATTAATTGTTTAGTATGTTAGAGACACACATGTTGACAATACAAGTTTCTGTAAAGCTTTCAACACTACTGCTTCAATCAAAGTTGCTTACTAAAATCAGAATTAAAAGTTTAATGTAGATTTTTGCATTTTAGATACTTTTTTACTATTATAATTTCCTTTCCTTGGAATACCACAAATTAAATAGCTGGATGACTCTGTAGATGATGATGATAATGATGATGATTATACTGCTTTTTTCTCCCCCTCAACAGAGGCTGTACCTCATCTGCTATTATAATTCCACAACAAGAGGCTCTGGACACAGACAATACTTTGGAGCGGCAAAAACCAGGGCAGGTGCCTAAAAAGGACAGTCCTCGAGGAGTGAAACGCAGTGCTAGCCCAGATTACAACCAGACAAATTCTCCTAGCCCTGCCAAAAAAACCAAAGCACTTCAGCACGCTGATTCTTCCTCAGATTTGGAAACAAACAAGCCACAGACTAAATCTAAGAAAAGACACTTGCATCAAGAGCAGGAGTCAAAGTCTTCACAATTGCCATCAACAAGCAAGGCTCATACCAGAAAGGGTGGAGCTGCCAGTGGCTCCCGAAGTCAGAAACGGAAAAGGACAGAGACCTCATCCATTGTAAAGAGTCGTCCACCAGCTGAATCGACTGGCAGTGAAGAGAGACCAGCAAAACCCACCAAGCTGGCTTCAAAATCAGCGAGCTCAGCCAAAGCTGGGTGTAGCACCATCACAGATTCTTCCTCTTCAGCCTCCACATCCTCCTCCTCTTCTGTTGTTGCTTCTGCCTCTTCTGCTGTTCCTCAGGGTGCCAGAGTGAAACAGGGGAAAGACCAGAGTAAGGCCAGGCGTTCCAGATCTGCATCCAGCCCCAGCCCACGGAGAAGTAGCCGTGATAAAGAACAGAATAAAATAAGTGGCTCTTCAAAGTTTGATTGGGCTGCTCGTTTCAGCCCCAAGGTTAGCCTGCCTAAAACAAAACTGACTCTGCCAGGCTCTTCTAAGCCAGAGGCATCAAAACCCGGGCCTTCAGGATTGCAGGCTAAACTAGCAAGTAAGTTGAAAATGTTTTTACTTATGTGAGGGCTTGAAATTTGACCACCTTATGTAACATGCTTATTGTGCAGGATTTGCATTAAATAGAATAAGAAGTAATTTGCAGGTGAGAATCATGGGGAGGGGAAGTCTGTACAATTGTTATAGCCAAGGAGAATATACTGTAATACTTCAGCTATAAATGCAGAGGTGTATATTTGAATACTTCTCCTTAGGGGGACAACTCCATGTTGAAGAAGACAGGGTTTGACCTGATCTATTCAGCATGCTAGTTTTCTAGATGCAAAGATTTAATCCAAAATATGAACTGGTCCTTAGTCTCTATTCCAAGTTGCTTGTCTTATTGTACAATAACTTAACATTGGGTATGCTTTTTAATATGGACCCTGAAATATTTTCATCCCCTGATATCACCTTGTTTATATATATTTACCAAGGTTTTATAGTCCTTCTCTGCTATGCCTTAGAACTATGTGTGTTTAGTAATACTACGCAGGAGCACAGTCCATCACCTCCGATTAAGTAGCCCAGAGGTGTTTTGCAGCACCAAATCTCTTTTTTCAGCCTGTGGAAACTGGTGTGTGACCCAGACTGCTGTTGAATTGGTTTGATATTTTGGAGAGAGGGAGGTTGTTCAGATGTGTTGCTTTTTTGATTTCTGTTTCATACATTAGTGACATCATCATCCCTATTATTATTATTATTGTTGTTGTTGTTGTTGTTATTTACTCCACCCAGCATATATCAAAACATAATAAACATCAAACATTAAAAAATTCCCAATACAGGGCTGCCTTCAGATGTCTTCTAAAAGTTATGTAGTTCTTTATCTCCTCGACATCTGAAGGGTGTTCCACAGAGAGGGCGCCACTACTGAGAAGGCCCTTTGCCTGGTTCCCTGTAATTTTGCTTCTCACGGTGAGGGAAACAGCAGAAGACCCTCAGAGGAGGACCTCAGTGTCCGTGCTGAGCAATGGGAGTGGAGATGCTCCTTCAGGTATACTGGGCCTAGGCCATTTAGGACTTTAAAGGTCAGCAGCAACACTTTGAATTGTGCTCAGCAATGCACTGGGAGCCAGTAAAGATCCTTTAGGACCAGTGTCAATGGTTTTGGCGGCCAGTCCCAGTCACCAGTCTAGCCGCCACATTCTGGATTAGTTGTAGTTTCCGAGTTACCTTCAAAGGTAGCCTCAGGTTGAGCACATTGCAGTAGTCCAAGCAGGAGATAACCAGAGCATGCAACCACTCTAGCAAGACGGTCCACAGGCAGGTAGGGTTTCAGCCGGCGTACCTTTAGTCTGAAGGGTGGAATACAAATTTAATAAATAAAATCTAACCAAGGCATAGCAGATAAAACACAATCTTCCAGTAAAAAAAGGAGATTTAGTCTGCTGGCAGGAAAAAGTCTTCACAAACTAAGAGAAGACAGTTGGGATGTTATGACCATTGAGAGAGCCCTATCTCTTGACCCCACCAGTTGTGCTTCCACCATAGTTGAAACACAGAAGAGCCTCACACTTAACTTCATGAGCTGGCTGGCTAGTACACGACCAAGTTCTGGTTACTGTAAATCAGTACAATCAGAAGACCAAATGCTTAACAGTAGAGAATAGGGTTTTGTTTTTGTTTTACATTGTCCATATAGTTTAGATTGCATAGGTTGAAATAACAGGGAAGAAAGAAAGCACTGGTACAACTAACTAATATTCACCAGTTAATCCCAAAGGTTAGTTCCAAGCTGTTATCAAGTAAAAATATGGGAAGAGTCAATTGTGTAACTCAGCTGTCCCTTGCATGCAAAAGGGCCTGGGTTTGATCCCTGACACTTCAACAATGGGTATCTTGTAGTAAGGCTAAGAAAAACCTTTAATTTAGGCCTTACAAAGCTGCTACTAGTCAGAATAGGCCACAATGTGTTTTCATAAGTGAAGGGGTGCTAAGAGTGGCAGAAGGGTCATTCTTGGTAGTTCCTCCACCATCAGATGCTTGGGTAGTGGTGGGCTGAGAGAAGGCATTGTCTGTGGCAGCCCCCAAGTTGTGAAACTCCCTCATCACAGAGGTGCTTCTGGCACCTTCATTTTATAACTTCCTGCAGATTCTGAAGACCTTTTACCCTGGCTTTTGGCACTTGAGGTGTATATTTTTTAGCGCCCACCCTATTTTTGTGATTTTAAGTTGTTCTAAGCCATTTTTATGTTGTATTTTGGTGGTGTAACCTGCCCTGGGACCTTGGGAAAGGAGGACAGGTACGTAATAATAGTAATAATTTCCAGTTTGAAAGATCAAGTAGGAGTTGATGAGAAAGTCCTTTGCTAAGACTCTGGAGAGCTTGTGCTTATGTCTTAGATGTATAGGTAGTAGTCTCATCTTAAGGTTATGATGCATAAATGATCTTAGGAAGGATTATGCTGGTAAAATAAATTTGCAGCTTGCTATCCGATGATGGGAAATGGTTGCTTTTGCAACCTGTGGCCTGAATTCAGGCATATGCAAGGTTTCAGAATCCTTCTGAGCCTTGAGATGGGTAGGAGTGATAGGAGGAAATTTATCTCTCAAGTAGTTAATGACTCAGCTATGTCGGGTAACTGAGCAGCTAAAGCATTTTCAAGTCAACTTTGCAACAGGTTGCTTGGATGCTCTTAGGCACACACCCTGGTCTGATGGTAGATTAAACCACATAACGTGGTGTGGGACAGAAGCTACTAGTCTAAACATTGTTCAGCTAAGTTGCTCCAGCTCCCAGATCAAGAACAATTCTGAGCTCTTATCTAAAAATTGGTGTTAAGTCTCTTAAGATGATCGGAATACATTTCATTTTCTACATAGAGTGCCTCTCTCCTTGGAAAAGGGATAGGGTCCACTTCTGAATGCATATTGTAGACACAACCTTTCACAACCTCTAATCTCTCTTGGTTTTATCATGTATACTAGCTATTATTACCAAAATACAGTGGAACCTTGTGTTACGGACAGGATCCGTTCCGGAGGCCCATCCGTAACACGGAACTAACGCAAGCCGAAGTGCCATGTCTGAGCATGTGCGCAGCGCGATGTAGCAGTTCTGCGCACGTTCGAGTAGCGAAACCCGGAAGTAACCCGTTCCGGTACTACTGGGTTGCTGCGGGATTCAACACAAAAACATGTATCGTGAATCAGACGCAACATGAGGTATGACTCTGTGACTTCAGTAGTTTTCCATGCAGTCATATCCCATAGCCTTTGTTCTAAACTTCTGAAAAGGAATAAACTTCCTTTGTTTAAACAATGCTATTGTTTTGGATATCTTTTGCATTCTTACTGTTAGAACATAGATTTCAAACTCTTGCATATTTAAAAATAAAATTTCGCTGCTCAGTCACATTTCATGGCTCTTCCTTAGGTTCAACTTCCCTCTAAAATGGAAATTCACCCCAGAGTACTGCTTGAAATCTTTGTTCAAAGTTACATCACAAACTGGTACTCCTAAATACAACTTTGAAATATGCAACTGCTAGTTTCCTTCAAAAGAAGCTTAAGGAAAATGCATAGCACTTGAAATGACCCCAGTGGCAATGCCTGTATTTCTAGCTTTAGTTCAGATTGTGCCTTGTGAGGCCTTGAGGTCCTTTTGAGATAGATGTAGACCAAGGACACCACTCTGTTCACGCATAGTACTTAATCTAGGACTTTGGCCTTCAACAAATGGATCTTTCACAATGTTGCTTATACTTCCTTCACAGGACTAGCAAGGATTTTGTCTTACTTTTCCCATTATTTTATATGTGAGTTTTCTTAAAGTGACTGCCCTGTTAAGATCCTAGCTTTTAGGAGAAACGAACTTGTTCAGCTGCAGTTGCTGAGCTTGATTGGATAGAAATCCACATTTGAGATTCTTGCATCCATGCATACTCTTTGAATACCTGTCCTTCAGCTAATAATACAGACAAGTTCTGACTTGGCTTAGTTCTGGTAACCTTGGCTTACTGCTTGATTTGTTTTGGGGAGACTCAGGAAGCAAAGACTGGTTCCCATGTAACACTAAGCCAAACAGAGTAAAGGTAGAAAATTCTTCAGTATGCTCCAGCAAACTGTTTGTGGTAAGTCATGGTTTACTGTGATATGCAAATTAGCCCAGAGGCTTAAGATGGATTCTGATGCATGCTTCAATAAGTTTTCTTTCTTTAAAAAGGCTTTGCAATTCAGGGTGGAAGAAAATCTTGAAATTTGTCATCTATTTTATGGTCCCAGTTCCAGTATTGGAATACAAGTCCACCACCATACAATGTGGACCTTTCCCCCATCTTTTTATTAAAGAGGGGCATAGCCAGGCAAGGTTATTGCATATAATGTGATGTTGTTGTTGTTAACCACATAAATACATGCAGCACAGGAGGTATTGTATCTGATAGAGAATAAATACAATTTGTGTTTTCCCTTGAATCCATCGTTTGGTCAAGAGGAGGAAGAATGTGCAGCTTCGTTTCATTTTCTGAAGCACAGTCTTCGTAAAGAAACTAGAATTGTCTTTGTTTCAGCTGTCTTTTTCTCTCTTTAGGCTTAAGAAAATCAACAAAAAAGCGCAGTGAATCACCACCTGCGGAGCTCCCCAGTTTAAGGCGGAGCACACGGCAAAAGACCACGGGCTCCTGTGCTAGTACCAGGTATTTTCGAACTTTAAAAATTACATGTGAAGATGAATTTGTGTTTGAGGGAATCTCCCTGAAGAGTTTAGAAAGCACACTCTTATTGACAACCTATATTTGTGTCGTGGTGACTACAGGATAATATGCAATAAACCACCCAAGAGACAGGATAATTTAATACAGGGGCCCAATTTCTCAGCGCTGAAATGGACACTACAAAATAACCTAACTTGTTACAAGAGAACTACGGCCCAATTCAGATAATCTAATTACAGTGCTGTTAACTAGCCTGGTGTGAGGTCTTGAAGATGTGTTATTATTACTCACAGCTGTTTTGAACAATACAGAAATTCGGTCTTTCTATAGAAATTAGGAAAATAGAAGGAAATTTCGTTGTAGACATATCTGAACAAGTAGTTATTGAAGTCAGCGAAGCATGGATGTGACAATGTTGATAATGCATCTATTTTTCTCAACATGCCTCTCATCTGCTTCATCTGCAGATGTGACTGTTTGAACTTCCCTTTTAAAAACTTTTTGCATATAGTTTAACTGTTCTGTTATGACTCCATGTCTGCATGGTTTAATTTTGAGTGCTGATAGTACCAGCACTGTAGACCACATAGCGTAATCTCGATGGCTTCTGATGAAAACTCTGTTTTCAGTCGGCGAGGCTCTGGCCTGGGCAAAAGAGGAGCAGCTGAAGCTCGCCGACAGGAGAAAATGGCTGATCCTGATAACAACCAGGATGGAGTTAATTCTTCAGCTGCACGAGCTGATGAGGCTCCACAAGGAGCAGCAGGTATGGCTAACTAGTGTCCCTCAACACTTGCACAGAAAAAGCAGTTATTGTCCAGAAATTGTTTGTATTTGCTCTGCCCAGAAATGTCAATACTAGTACACTTAAGTATCTGAGGTTACATGCTTTATTCAGTGCTCCGTTTTGGCCAGATTTAAAAAAGGAGAAAATGCTCAAAGGGTCTTTGGACTTGAGTTACTTGAAATGTTTCCGCTTTGTGATCTGTTATACTCCATTTGAGACTTTGAAAGACAGTTTATAATATAGCATAGAGGCTTGTTCAAAGAGGACCCATTTAGTATTCCCAAACCATGTACCTAAAGTAGTTCTTTAGCTTCAAAGCATACTTTGCCAACAGTTTCCTCTTAAGAACCTGTGGATGGGACTGCTATTTCTATTTTTTCTTGCACCAGCTACACTTAGCTGCTTTGAGACTCCTGAAGGGGAGTGAAAGGCGGGATATCAAATCCAAACTCTTCTTCTTCTTCTTAGTGATACCTATGTTTCTATTCAAGTCAGTTGAAGATAAATTTAGATCTCACCTTCTAAAAATATGTAGTCTCTTGCTGAGGTTTCAGGTTTGGCTGAGATTCTTGTTAAAACAAGGAATCCTAGCTAGTATTAACTGTGGTTTAATGTTGATGTTTTCCTTTAAATATATTTGTCAAGGGACAGTGAGGGCAGGGTGTGTGTATGTGACTCCTGATACCTCTCCTGTGGTTAAAAAGGAGTGAGCATTCATTTGCCTTGGCTCCTGTCCAATATACCATGTGCTTAATAGGATCATAGATCTACTGACTTCATTTTGGTAAGAAGTGTTGCTGAATATAAGCAAATCCATTTGCTCACTGGCTGTTTTTGCACGTTAGTTTTAATTTGCTTAGTTTTGTTTATACTTCTATTAACAGGTAATAGAAGCATCTTAACACCCTTCACTTTTCATTGTATTGGGCAGACGTATGCACTCTTTCTAGGGAGTACATCCCAATGAATCTATGGAATTTAGTTCTGAGTAAACATGCATAGATTTTTTGCTGTTAGCAACTTACCTTGCAAGCAAGCAAACTAATAGTACCCTGAACAAATGTTTGTCTGTTCCACAAGTCTGTGGGAAGTGTTTCCTCTGCCTCTTTCACCTCTGTGGTTTTGTGAAAGCTACAAAGCTGCTACACTAGTCTAATCCTACAAACTATTAGTGCATATCTGCTTGGCAGCCTTGTTGCAGGGTGCAAGGCACACCAAGTTCTGATTATAGCTCCTAATTCTGAATATTCCTATCAGTTTTCTGTTTAAGCAAACATGTTTGAACCGTTATTATTTTATATGGTATAATGTCATTGCCCTCTGTTTTAAATTGCTTATTTACTAAAGAAAAAGAAGCCCCAAAGTTTCAACCATATTGCATGGCTGAAAGTTTAAACTGACCTTGTGTGTTCAAGTGCAGTCATTCCATACTATGTGGGTCAAGACTAAAAATAAACCTGCTTTTTTTGTATGCCCATTCCTATTCCTACTGGAGTCATTAAAGGTTTTCTTTGACTACTTTGGAAGGAGGATTTCAGGAAGAGTTAACAAGTATGTATACTGTGTGACTTATTAATATAGTGCCACTAATTTTTTCCCCTCCTGTAGCTTCTAGTTCTGTTGCTGGGGCTGTGGGCATGACTACCTCTGGTGAAAGTGAATCGGATGATTCTGAGATGGGGAGATTGCAAGGTACAAACTAAGAGGCTTATGTTACACTCATGACTACAGTAAATAAATATTAACACAGCTTTTAGATTTGTTAGAAATGTTAAGGATTTTTAATGCTGCACTTTTATACTCTTTGGGAAGGAAATGTAGATCAGTCAGCATTAATTTTCCAGGACTTGTATGTCTTTTTTCACTCTTTCTACTCCAGTTACTCTGATTATTGATGGCATATCACTTAAGTGAAATCTTCATGGTTAAAATAAAAAATAAAACTTTTGAGGTGAGAAGGTTGGAAATGGCATTGGGTGATATCCAGCTAAATTGTTCTTTTGAGTAGACAGAACTAAGTTAGAATAGATTGATTGAAATAAATGTACATAGATTACAATAGGTTTGCTTATCACTGGATGTTGCCCATTCTGATTTCTGGAACTGCATTTGCCGTCATACACTGTAAAGTCAAAGTTTCATTATTGGAAGGAACAGCTTTTATGGTGATTAGAAAATGTTTTATCTTTTTGTTTGGTCTAGTGCTGCATCCTCTAAAGACTGGCTTCGTTATCTTCTAGGTGGTAGTTGGCAGTCCTTGCTCTTAATTTTTTTCTTTTTAGAAGAGCAAAGAGGATTCAACTGCTTTTTGTCCTTAATAGAAACCTTTAGCTGTCCTAAGTAGTACCATTAATAGGTATTGGAACTTCCATTTTCAATCAGAATAAATAGGTTTTCTAAGTTTTCGTTGTTTTAAGTAGGTGTTCAAGTGGGATGTATGCTAGTAATTATTTTTTTCAAACTTGTACTGCTTTCAAGGCTTGGGGCCGTTGACTAGATAAATGCATGTAAAATATTGCTTCTAAGTTAGCAGTTCTAGCTCAGCCCATATTAAAATTCTTCACTGCACTCAGATCTTGATTAGAATTGGCTCACTATTGTTATGGTATAGGGTTTAATCATACTAATAATCTGTGCTACAACATTGAAAGTCTGTGATGTGAATTATAAATTATGGTGCTGTGCATGAGTTTCAAATAAGTTATATGTATATTTTTGTCTCTAGCTCTGTTGGAAGCTAGAGGTCTTCCTCCACATCTGTTTGGTCCTCTTGGTCCTCGAATGTCGCAACTTTTTCATCGGACAATTGGAAGTGGAGCTAGTAAGTAAGCTGCTTCAACCAGGAAGTTTCTCGAATTACTACTCTTGGGAAGTTTGTCCCTCCTCAGCCTCATAGCTTCTTGAAGGACTACTTCTAAGACTAAATTCTCAGAATACTTAGATCTTGTACTGTAACTTTTATTAACAAGTAAAAAAACAAAAACATCCTATTAATTGGCTTTTGTCAAACCTCCACATTTGTGGATTTCTTCATAATCACTTGAATTATATTTATTGCAGCCAAAGGGAAACATATTTAAAGCAACCTGTTTAAACAACTACTTCTTTCTAGACTTGAATTTGGGTTTGGATGATCCTTTCTCTGTCTCTTAAGCCAAGTTAAATCTGGGGTTTTTGCTTACATGCACAGCCCTTTCACCATGATTCAACCATTAATCCTTTTCCAGCTTCACAATGTGACTTAGGATTCTGACTTGTTCCATATGTGGTGGGCATCATTTTATGATTTGGCAAAGGGGAAACTTTAGTGCAGTAAAAACAAGGTTGACCTTTAACATTCTTGCCAAATAATGTTTTATCATCCCAAGTAGTTGGATTGAAAGTAATAGCCACTGCTTACGAGGAGTCCAAAGGACACACACCCTACCCCATCTCCAAATTAGCGTTTGGGTAACATTTTGGCTGCTATTGGCATGGGGGCACCATGCTTGACCGTGTCTTGTGCTCAAACTAAGCACTGAGGTGGACACAATGCTGTAATGTTGTTGTATGATTTAGAGTGGCTGAAAACCTATTATGACACACAGACACACACAGACCTGATACTTTGTTCATTCTACATACATTGGCTATAATTGGCATGGGATGGTGTATTGCACACGATTATTTCTCTGGATTGGATGCCAGTTCTGTGCCATCTTACATGGAAGCTTGTCTTTGATTGTACAAGCTTTTTTTAGGTATATGATTTGTGGTGGCTCAGAGCTTGGGGTGTACACCCCCAGTTCTTCATTTCTAAACACTTTGGCTATTATTGGCATTGGAGTGCCATGCTTGACACTTTCTTGTGCCAGAAAGAATCATTGGGATGTACCTAATTCAGTACTTCTTCTAGCAAACACTTTTCCTGGAGTTGTGGGTGGGTGATTGGAGACATGGATGCACATTCCCAATTTCACTGGCTATTGTTGACTAGGGGGTGCCATGTTTGACAGTGTCCAAGAGTCACTTCCTATTTGGTTGGACCATGGCCCCTTCTAAGAAGTGCAGGAAGTCTGAACAACCACATGGACCCACAGGGAGGGCCTGCCAATGCTAGGAACAGTTGTCCCCATCTGTCCTGTAGTAAGGTCAGCCTGACAGGCTGGGAATGGAGAAAGTTACCTCATCTTCAACCTTTAGTATGTTTTTTTTTATGCTTATCTGATTGTTCTATCAAAAGTAACTTGCCTTTTGCAGGAATCCTAAAGGTTTTAAATGGTCGTTATTTTCACTAATTATTTATGGTACTTGGATGTGTTAATTAGTAGGCTTTCTGGTTTAATAGTGGTTTCACAGTGCAGTGCGTTCACAGTTAAATCCCCATTTAATAAACCAAACATTGTCCAAACACAGCCCCCTCTGGCAGTAGGTAATCGGAATAATTTTCCTACATAGTGATTCAGTCACCATGGGCCAAAGGTTGGTTTACATTTTCTAAGGCTTTCCTACAATTAGGAGAGATGTAATCTACTTACCATGCTGTTAGAAGTTTCATCAGTAGCTCATGTATTTTAAGTAAATGATGATAGTATGTTAAACAATGCAAGCAGTAGCCATATGATATATCCAGGACTTAGATGTACGCCCAGTCTATTGACACTGTGAAACTTTGACTGGTGAGATGCAGTTCAGAAACACATTCTTCTCTAATCTCTCATGATTGATTAAAACTGCATATTTTGACTAAAGGTTTTTTGTTGTTGGTACTTCACTGTGGAGGGTGTACCATGAAGAAGAAAAGTTTTTGAATGTTTAAAACAGAATCGGGATCCTCTCAAAGTTTTGCCAGTGTAATTATTCCAGTATAATGACACAACAGTACAGCATGAAGCCTAATTCTCTACAGTTAGGCAATTCTCTACAGTTGGCATAGGAAGACAATATACAATTCAGCTTAATGTCCTCTGGGGAGGCATCTGTCATTTGGCATCAGTTCATCACTAGAAAGCCTGAAGTACAGAAAGCTACAAGTGCAGTAAATAGCAGGAGTGAGAAGAGGCTTAACTGTGGTGTGTCTCAATTGCAGGTGAATTTGGAACTTAATTTTGAATAGTGATTCAGAACTATGTGCCCATAGATCTACCGGGTTTGATCAGGTTGAGAACTCTGGCTAGCTAAAAAAAATGATCTTAAATTGTGTTTCTATTTCTGTTCCTATCATATCAGGATGGATTCAGTTTGCAATATCTGTTGAAATTTATAGTGCATTTCAGTAGCTTAAAGCACATACTGTTGGTTCATTTGGTAGCTGTAATCTAATATTTAAATATCAACAAAGATGCATATAAATGCAGCATTACTGACTCCCTGCTTTCATATTTATGATAGGCAGACTAAATGAAAATGCCTTGTCTCACCTAATCAACTATGATAATATATTGTGGAAGTGGAAGATTTTAAGCTTTCAAAATCCTCAATTTTTCTAGGTTCTAAAGCTCAGCAACTTCTACAGGGGCTCCAGGCAACTGATGAAAGCCAGCAATTACAGTCTGTGATTGAAAATGTGTCAGTTCGTTGGTCATGGGGAATGAAGAAACTTTGGGAGGATTCCAGTCAAGAGTGTTGTGCCAGCTCTGGTAAGGACCTAGTCTTCACATCATCTTCAATCTTGAACATGTAAACTGTATTATCCACTTGTGGTTTTCATGAAGAAGTACCAGTGGTGGCCTCGGGCAAAGCGAACGAAATTAAATTCGTTCCGCAAGTCTCATTCCGTCTGTCGGAGTTTTTTCGTCTTGCGATCGCACGGTTTCCCATAGAATAGCATTGGAAAATCAATTAATGCCGTTCCTAGGGAAACCGACTTCAGTACCAGGTCTGGGGACAGTCTGTCCCCCGACCTTTCTGATAGGCTGGGGGGGGGGCACAAGGGCTTTTCTTCCCACCCCCAGCATTTTAAAAAAACCCCGGGACAGCGGAGGACGTCTCCGCTGTCGGGGCGATCTTAAATGCTGACGGGCGGCATTTTAAATCACCGTGGGACAGCGGAGGACTTCTCCGCTGTCCGGGGCGATTTAAAAGCCCGCTGGGAAGGCAGACAGGGGGGGACAAAGACTTTCGCCCCCGCCAGCCTTCAGAAGAGGTCCTGGACCTCTTCTGAAGGCTGGCGGGGGGTGAAAGTCTTTGCTCCCCCCGCCTGCCTTCAAAAGCTGTCCGGCCCAGGCTTCGCGGACCTCTCCGCAAGCAGCAGGCAGCGCTGCCGCTGCTTGCGGACAGGTGCCAGCATGCCGAAGCCTGCGCGCGCTGAGATCAGCGCGCCCAGGCTTCCCGCCCCGCCTCCCGGCATCGGGGCATCGTCCCGATGCCGGGCGGCGGCCGGCGGCGTCCCCCCCCGCCGCCCGGGATCGGGGTATCGTCCCCGATGGCGGGCGGCGGGGGAGGCGTTCCCGGCCCCCCGGGATCGGGCATCGTCCCGATGGCGGCGCGGCGGCGGAGGCGTTCCCCCCCCCGCCGCCCGGGATCGGGGCATCGTCCCGATGGCGGGGCGGAGGAGGCGTTCCCCCCCCCCGCCGCCCGGGATCGGGGCATCGTCCCGATGGCGCGGGCGGAGGCGTTCCCCCCCGCCGCCCGGGATCGGGGCATCGTCCCGATGGCGGGCGGCGGAGGAGGCGTTCCCCCCCCGCCGCCCGGGATCGGGGGCATCGTCCCGATGGCGGGCGGCGGGGGGAGGCGTTCCCGCCCCGCCGCCCGGGATCGGGGGCATCGTCCCGATGGCGCGCGCGGCGGAGGCGTCCCCCCCCCCGCCGCCCGGGATGGGGCATCGTCCGATGGCGCGCGCGGAGGAGGCGTCCCCCCCCGCGCCGCCGGGATCGGGCATCGTCCGATGGCGGCGGCGGCGGGACGGCGTTACCCCCCTTTCTAGGAGTTACATCCCAATGGAATCTATGGAATTTAGTCTGAGGTAAACCATGCATAAAGAATTTTTTCGCTCAGTTAAGCAACTTACCTTGCAAGCAAAGCAAACATATAGGTACCGCGAACAAATTGTTTGTTCTGGTTCCAACAGTTGTGGGGAAGTGTTTCCTCTGGCTCTTTCACCTTTCTGTTTGGTTTTTGTTGAAGCTACAAAGCTGCTACACTAGTCTAATACCTTACAAACATTAAGGTGCATAATCTGCTTGGCAGCCTTGTTGTGCAGGGCTGCAAGGCACACCAAGAATTCTGATTAGAATGCTCGACTTAATTGTCTGGAAGTATTGCCTATGCAGTCTTTCTGTTTTAAGCAAACATGTTTGAATCTGTTTATTATTTTAATTATGGTATAATGTCATATGCTCTGTTTTTAAATATGCTTATGTTACTAAAGAAAAAGAGAGCCCCAAGAGTTTAACAAGCACATATGCCGATGGCATAAAGGTTCGAAAGTTATTAACTGACCTCTGGTGTGTTCAGAAGTGCGCAGTCATTCCAATACTATGGTGCGTCAAGGACTAAAGAATTAAAAAAACTTGCTTTTTTTGTAATGCCAGATTCCTATTCCTACTGGAGTTCATTAATAAAGGTTTTTCTTTGACATACTTATGGAAGACGGAGGATTTCAGGAGGAGCAGAAATGTAAGACAAGTATGACATTACTGATGTGATGCTTATTATAACTAGGTAGATAGCCAGCTAATTTTGTTCCTCCTGATAGCGTTCTTAGTTCTGTTGCTGGGGGCTCGTGAGGAACATGAGACGGTAACCTCTGAAGTTGAAAGTGAAATACGAGAATGATGTTCTGAGAGATGGGAGCAGATGGATGACAAAGTTACAGAGATGCTGAGTTATTGGCTTATGTAT